AAAGAGAGAGCAGGGAGAGAGAGAAACAGAGAGACAGAGACAGAGAGACAAAGACAGAGACAGAGACAGAGGAGAGATAGAGACAGAGAGGAGAGAGACAGAGACTTAGAGACAGAGAGACAAAGAGAGAGCGGGAGGGGAAGAGAGAGACAGAGAGACAAAGACAGAGAGAGAGAGACAGAGGAGAGACAGAGATAGAGAGGAGAGACACAGAAAGAAAGAAACAGAGACAAAGAGAGAGTGGGGAGAGAGAGACAGACAGACAGAGGAGAGATGAGACAGAGACAGAGAGGAGAGAGGGATGCCCAAGGTCACATAGGCAGTCAGTGCCACAGGCGGCAGCCGTAAGAGGGATACTTCTAGAATTTCCCTTCAAGGTCTCAAGAACATTATGGCACCAGGGGAGAAAGTCTCCAAGAAAAATTCCACTTTCAGAGCTCTGGGGAGCGTGCCCTGGGCCATGCACAGACCCGACTTTTGCTCAGCTAGCACGTCCTAATTATCCTATCAGGAGACATAATTTTGATGGTGGGGGAATTGCGGGTGTAAAAGGCCTATAAAGCTGTAAATTAATTAAGCGTTATTGCCCCAGAGTCTCTCATGATTCATGCTGGACATAAAGTCTTGGAGGCAGCGCACACATGTCAGACAAGTGGGGCTAGGCACAGGAGAGATGGGCTGCTCCAGCTCGGTGAGGAGGCTGGGCTGTGTGCCTCCCTGGGAGTCCTATAAAGGCATAAATTAATTAACAGTTATAACCCAAGTCCATCTGTTGCACTTCTTCCTGGAAAATCCCACAGAGACATATGCAAAATTGTGTATCTCTGCCACCCTGAGGGCCGGCCTGCCAGGCTTGTAATGATCCCAGCAAGAAAAACCCATTGGCAGATTGATGGGGATGAATTTTTCCTTTCTGTTTAAAATTGAAATGCAGTAGGGTCTTTGTTGGACAGTTAGGTGACTCTGGGCCCAAAGTCAGGAAGGCTTGAGTTCAAATGTGGCCTCAGACACTTACCAGCTGTGTGACCCTGGGCAAGTCACTTAGCCCTGTTTGCCTCAATTTACTCATCTGTAAAATGGGCTGGAGGAGCAAATGGCAAACCACTGCAGTATCTCTGCCAAGAAAACCTCAAAGGGGATCATGAAGCGTCAGACACAACTGAAAACAACTAAATAAACAGGATCGTTTTTAAATGTAGAGGTCTAGGTTTTGATCAGGAACATCTGCTAGTATTTATTTGGGCCTGGTAGGAAAAGATCCAAGATGAGTATGGTCCAAAAGTCCTCTGTTTACGAAGCTCCTGATCTTTGTAAGAGGGAGATGGCGTCTGTCCACCCTCCCTATGTCCTGGGTCATAGCTGAAGCCACTTTAATGCAGCAATTGTTTATTAGACGATGGATAGAATGAGGGACTTGGAGTCAGAAAGGCCTGAATTCAGATCCTGCCTCCAACCCTGGGCAAGGCATCTGTCAGCCTCAGTTTCCTCAGCTGTAAAATGGGGATAATAATAGTCCTGAAGCATTCTGTAAACATTAACTGTTGTCGTCACGACTTCACCCAGGGCTCTAATCGCCGATGACTGATTGACTCTATGAGTCAGCCGTTCAACTCCCTCATTTCACAGATTAAGAAACAAGCCCATAGAGGGAAGGTGACTTGCCCAAGGTCACACGGGTAGGATTAAAAATAATCCCCGTACGTAGGTGTATATGTTACTCAACTGAAAGCTGAGTCTGGGCAAATGTCCGGCTGTCAGCTGTCTTGCTGGTGGCTGGGGTCCACCTCGGTCGCAGGCCCACCCTTGATGATTGACCGAAAGGGAGGCTTTCGTGCCTCTGGGTTTTGCCTGCTTCTCACCCCCCGGGGAGCGGAGGTCCCATCTCACCGGTTCCTCCACCGAGGCCTGGAAGGCTTGCTTTGATCCGGCTGCTTCTCCTGGGCGGCAGGTGGGCACGGTCCGGTGACGGCCTCGGGAGGCTTCACCCTTTCTTCTTTGTCTCTCCCAGGTGCCCCGCTCTTCCTTTCCCAACCACATTTCTACAACGCCGATCCAGAGCTGGTTGAATCTGTGATCGGGCTCCATCCCAGCAAGGAAGAGCACTCCCTGTTCCTCGAGGTACACCCAGTAAGTCAGCGCACGCCTCCAGAGCGGGAAGGGGTCCCGGGCCATGTCGTGTTGGGGAGGGCGCTGCCAGCCCGCTAAGGGCTTTCTTATCGGATGCAGCTGCGTGGTGCAGTAGATAGAGTTCCAGGCCTGGAGTCAGGAAGAGCCAAGTTCGAATACATCCTCAGAGAAGCGGTGTGTCCCTCACTTAACCCTGTTTGCCTCAGTTTCCTTATCTGTAAAAATGAGCTGGAGGGGCAGCTAGGTGGACATAACACTTACTAGCTAGGTGACCTGGGCAAGTCACTTAACCCCATTGCCTAACCCCCCCCCCAAAAAAAAGAGCTGGAAAAAGAAATGGCAAACCACCCCAGTATCTTTGCCAAGGAAACATAAAATCTGGCTTCAGACACTTCCTAGCTGGGTGATCCCGGGCAAGTCACTTAACCTAAGTTAAACCGCCTAAGCAAAAAAATAAAAAATAAAAAAAAAAATAAAAGAAATAAAAAAAATTGTGAAATCCAGCCTCAGACCAAACACTTGACACTCACTAGCTTTGTGACCCTGGGCAAGTCACTTAACCCCAACTGCCTAAGCAAAAAAATAAATAAATAAAAATAAATAAATAAAAAAAATAAAAAAAATTGTGAAATCCAGCCTCAGACCAAACACTTGACACTCACTAGCTGTGTGACCCTGGGCAAGTCACTTAACCCCAACTGCCTAAGCAAAAAAAAATAAATAAAAAAATAAAAAAAATTGTGAAATCCGGCCTCAGAGCAAACACTTGACACTTACTAGCTGCGTGACTCTGAGCAAGTCATTTAACCCCAATTGCCTAAAAATAAAAAATAAAAAAATAAATAAAAAATTTCACTAACTGTATTTTAGTATCATTGGTTTTCTCTATTATCCTGTGTATTTTATTTTATACATTTAAAAGGATTATGCTGAGAAGGGCTTTAAATCTCTGCTGCCAAGGGGGTCTAGGACACAGAAAAGGTTAAAAACGCCTGGTCCCAGTGATCTCATTGATTCCCATGGGTTGAATGATCACTTCTATGGATATGTCTCCCAAAGCTACCTCTCTAGCTGTCTTCACCCTCTTTAACTACAATCCCAAGTCGCCAACTGCCTGCTGAAAATCTCTCCTGGACGCCCCACAGACATCTCATACTCGTCATCAAATGAGATTTTTTATATATACGTGTGTGTGTATGTATGTATATATGTGTATAAGTGTGTATGTATGTGTATATGTATACATATATATGTGTATGAGTGTGTATATATGTGTATGTGTATAAGTGTGTATGTATGTGTATATGTATATATGTATAAGTGCTTATGTATATGTGCACGCACACATGTATATATGCATATAAGTGTGTATATGTGCATATGCATACATATGCATATGTGTATATGTATATGCACACATACACATATGCGTATGTGCATATGCATACATACATATATACACAAATGTGCATATGTATATACGTGCATACATATGCACAACGCGCACACGTGTGTATGCATATGTACACACATATGGGCAAGTGCACAGCATATGCACACATGTGTAAACACATATGTATGTGCGTGTGTATGCATACAGATGTACATGTGTACACAAATGTGCATGTATGTGTATATGTGTGTATGTGTATATATGTATATGTATGTGTGTATGTGTGTACACACACATACATATTTAAAAGCGCTTAGCACAGTGCTTACTAAATGCTCACTGAGTGACGGACATAGGAGATGCTTAAGTGCTCGTCAGAGGGCTTTGTCAGGTAGTGTATGGATGTAAACAGCTTTGTTGGAGAATTGCCTTTATAAAAGGGCTATAAAGCTGTAAACTAATTAATGGTTATTGGTGTGCCTGTCTCTTAGGCAGCCAATTAAGCAGAGGCAGCGCACTGGCTTTAAACGTGTCAGGCCGCGCATTGCGTGCCAAACCTGTTCAGGGGATGGGCCTGAGGCATTTTGCCAGTAAACTAGGCCATGAAGGGTATGGGAGCTTTGCCCCTTCTGTTCTGTGTAGACGTGGCCCTGGACCCCAGAGGACATGGATGGAGGAGCTGGGTCTTTGGAGTACCTGACTACCTTTTTTGGGGGGCAAGGGGAGTGAAGTGACTTGCCCAGGGTCACACAGCTAGTAAGTATCTGAGGTCAGATTTCATGTTTTCTTGGCAGATACTAGAGTGGTTTGCCATTTCCTTCTCTAACTCATTTGACAGATGAGGAAACTGAGGCAAACAGGCTTAAGAGACTTGCCCAGGGTCACCCAGCTAGTGTCTGAGTTCACATTCGAATTTGAGTCTTCCTGACTCCAGGCCAAGTGAGGAGGGGGATGAATTCCAGGCATCGGGAACATGGAGGTGGGCGTGTCCTGCACAATAAACAGGAATTAGGTCAGTAGGGTTGGATTCTGTGATTTCGTAACAAATTTCAAAAAGGTCAGAAAGGCAGAAAGGGTCAGGTTATGAAAAACTCAGAACTCCAAGCAAAAGACTTTATTTCTGATGCTCAAGGCCAGAGAGAGCCCGTGGTGTGTGAACGGTCAGCTTCCCAGGGAGCGGCCGGAGGCGTGGAGATGGAACCCCAGGTGCAGTCACTGAAGCACCAGGCCGGTGGCTGGTGAGGGGATGCTCTGGCTGTGTGGCCTGAGCAGAGGGCGGAGCTGAGGATGCTTTCACTGGAAGCTGCAAACCTGGGCCACTGGGAGGATGGTGGTACCCCCCCCTGCAGTGGCGCCCCCTACAGGTACAGGTCGGCAGCTAGACCACAATGAGAGTTCAGGGGCTGCCAGGCAGTGTGTGTTAGAGGCTGGATCTTTCTGGCTCCAGATTGGCTTTCTCTCTCTCCACTATGCTGTAGCTCCGGAGGGGAGGCTTAAAGGATTTTAAAACATTATCCTTGTTAAGACTTTCCATCACCTGTTACTCCTCCCTCAGTCTTTTTGGCAACTAGGCATTGCAGTGGGTGAAGCATGAGACCGGCGAATCAGTAAGACCTGAGTTCAAATCCAGCCCCAGACATTTACTAGCTTTGTGACTCTGATCAAGTAATAGTAGTAATGATGATGATGGTGATGATAATAAACACTCGCTTTTATATCATGCCTAATACGTGCCCATCACTGTGCTAAGTGCTTTACAAATATCATTTCATTTGCTCCTCTAACAGCTGTCTGCCTCAGTGTTCTAGACTGCAAAATGGGGCTAATAATGACACCTACCTCCCAGGGTTGTTGTAGGGATCAAATGATATAATAATTGTAAAACACTTTGCAAACCTTAAAGTGCTATGAAAATTCTCCTCCTTCTCCTCTTTTCCTTCTCATCCTCTTCCTTTTCCTCCTCCTCCTATTTCATCACAAGCCCAGCTAAATTTTTCTCCATATGAATTTTCTTTCTTTCTTTCTTTCTTTCTTTCTTTCTTTCTTTCTTTCTTT